ATTTTATTTTATATAGTATTACATCTGATTATAATGAAAAACTAAAGCTAGCAGTTCACAATCGATAAGCTGGTTTTTCTGGAAGCACTCGCTAGCGCGTATTACATTCGACACGTTGTTTTTCTCCGAGACGGTGGATGCAATATTATAAAAATTCTCAAACTGTGCGTCGACTCTACTAATGACGCCAATCAATCGAGCGAACATTAAATTGATACATCGATCGAAGTTAAGCATATTGAAGAATGTTGAAGCGGTCATCGCCATGTATACGTTGGATGATTCCAGTATGAGCGTAACGTTATCAAGCGTGTTAAATCGCACCATCAACGGTCCAACAGCAATAGAATATGGTGCGCACTGCTGATTGTACAGATATTTCTTAACATTAGATCGTTGCTCGTAGAGTGCCTTCCACGTTTCGGGAGCCAGTACGAGCTCGTTTCCGCGATGATCTCGAATCGCAATCGCAATGTAACTCAGGGGTCTAATGTTGATGCCAATTTCCAGATATTTGTATCCCGTAGTCGTTAGTGCGTATCGTCGACATAGTATACGCACTACACAACGCGTGGGTGAAACGCTATGGGAAAACAATTGTTACAAATATGGAAAAAATAATACAAATACTGTTAACTGGAAAACAAAACGTACTCTACACATTGTTCCGTACACGGTGTAGAATCACCATCCTGAAGAGGCACGTAATAATTTACACGCGTGCTGCTGTTTTCTTAAGCGGACTGCATTGCTGTCGGTTATTAGAAGTTTCCACGCACGCAGCCAACCCAATACTGAATGTATGACAACGTGAGAAACTCTCGCAAATGACGGCGGGGGAGCGCAGGAAGTCATGGGTGCGAAAGAGAGATGCGCGTATATTAAGATGGAAGAGTCTAACGCGTGAAAGGAAAAAGATATGATTGGAATATAATTGGTGGGAGTGAGAAAAATATTCACATCGTATCGATACATAAAATTATATTTTCATTTTATTATGGTTAGACCACCAATTGAATAGTTTTAATACATTCCAGTTCCAAGGAGAATTCTTCGAACAAACCATGGGAGCAGAAATAGGATACCCTATATAACCCATCATCGCGGACATCTTCATGGAACACTTTGAGAATGAAATCCTGAAGAAGGTTCCACTAAAACCCTTCACGTGGTTCCGATACGTGGACGACACCTTTGTCATCTGGAACCACGGAAGGGAAACCCTACTTCAATTTCTCACTTTTATAAACTCCCAGCACCTTAACATCCATTTCACAGTGGAGATTGAACAGAACTCCCAAATCCCCTTCCTGTATTGGTCCGCAGGAACGAGGATGGCACCTTAGGCCACCACGTCTACCGTAAACCAACACACACGGACCGATACCTCCATGCAAATTCCTACCATTATCCCGCCCAAAAGAATTAGGTGATCAGCTCTTTAGTCCACAGAGCACTCTCCACCTCGGAACCAGCTGCCCTGGACGGAAAATTAAATCACCTCCACCGAGCCCTGACAAGGAATGGATACAGTAGAAGAAACATCAACCGTACAATCCAGAAGCTGACAAACAAGGAACCCGGCCTTAACAACACCAGGACACCAGAGGTAGAGAAAGAAAAGAAAAAGGCGGTGATACTCCCGTACCTTCAAGGCACGACGCACCGCATCAGTAGAGTTTTAAGCAAGCATAAAATTAGAGTGATATTCAAACCACACAACAAACTCTCTCAAATGCTCCCCAATCCCAAGAATCGGAGACCCCATTTGGCAGCCCCAGGGGTTTACAAAATCTCATGCGCTTGCGGAAGTGTACATAGGAGAAACCGGGAAGAAGATCAGTACATGGATCAAGGAACATCAGTGATGTACCAAATACGGCCACTTCTCACAATCAGCCCTAGCCGAACACAAGATTGAGACCGGACACGCCGTCCAGTGTGACAAAGCCACCATGCAGGCCCCGTCTCAAAGCCATTTTGCGCGAAAACACCGCGAAGGCCTTGAAATCTTGAAACACCCTGATAACCTGAATCGCGACAAAGGCTATCAGGTTAACCCGATATGGCACACCCTCTCCCAGTGTTTTAATTGGTCAGCCTACAACGCCCCGATTAGTTGACTCCCCCCTCTCCCTCTCTCCGGCCCTTTTCCTCTCCTCGACACCCCCCCAAATGGGGACACGGGTATTTAAGGACTACCGCAACACAAGGGAGCTCATCATCCTATATTAGTATCAGAGTCTTCCAGCCTTGATGGTGCAGACTGCAACACCTGCGAAACCCTGCACCACCCTGCAAACGGAGCGGCAACCATCCGGAAGCCATTACGACTGCAGAAGACAGCAGCCGCGAAAGCTTGAAAGCCAGTTTTAATACATTTTGTAAAGCACAATTTGTTACATGTTTCTGACAGCAAAAAGTATACGTATCGTCTAATTTGTTGAGAGATTGTATATCCTCGTAGTCAGCGTCAATAGTTTCGATTAGACATCTCCTCTCGCGTCGTCCAACAGCAAATCCTTTAACCATTCTCGTTTTTCGTGTCCCTTGACGTATACGAGAAGCGGTATCTCAATATCGTCATCATCTTCTGTACTAACCACAGCCGTTGTAATCAAACTTCTAGCCCTGCTGTACGGAACCATTCCATCATCCCATTGTAGTCCATGATGATTCGCAACCAACCAGGATGCTTGATGTCTCTTCGCTTTGGTGAGAAGTCTTCACCGTACTTGACCTGAGAAAATGTAAAGCGAGAGAACGCGTCTTTCTCGGAGAGCAGCAAACTCCTTCACAACAAAGTGACCACCGACGACGAAACCTTGCCGGTCCACGAATGTCGGCGCGGACATGTCGGGACTTGTTCGTTAATACGTCGAGAGGAGGAGGAGGGACACTACAATCCATCTCGATACCTCGCAGAATATAAATCATTCTCCTCTAAAATGTTTGGGGAGGGGAGAACAGTTATCGACGCTGCCGCACTTAGGTAATTTTGCGCACGACATTGGTCAGCGGGTTATACTGAACCACTCGATCCTGTATGATGAGACAGTACGCAGTACTCACGGTGCTCACCGGCACGTTCTCCTTACATTCAAATTCCAATCTCACGTCCTCGGTGGCGCTCTTGACCGACTCGTTTTATCGGGAGCAATGGATAATGACAAATGGGCCTTTATCTATAAAATTTTCAATACTGAGATTCGGCTCGAGATATCCATAGCCGTAATAGGTTTTGCAGAAACGCGTATACGCGTCGTACATCTCTTCTTGTCAAAATCCAAATTCATATCATCGTACGGATAACATTCCGAGTTCAAATACAGTTTCACGTTGGTCAACTAGTAGTGGTTGAATCGGCTTGATTCTTCGGACATAACGTTCTTCCGGTCTGTCTGCAGAGCGAAGATAACGTAGCGCAGCTTCTCGAGCTGAGTAGCCGTTTTAATGGCCCACGAATGCTTGGTCGTTTGCTGCAATAGCGGATACTCGTACAAATCCCACGAACGAAATCCCATGTCAATGTATCGTCCGCTTTCCAAGGCACGCAGCATCGACAGCTTATTCACCTCATTCACTAACACGTGTAGCATTCGCTACTGTATCTTGAATATTTTAATCTTAGGCTCCATCGCTGCATTTCCAACGAGACAGTTGTTATCGTTGCGTGATCGTATTAAAATCAATCTGTGACGAGCGTTAATCACCACGCGTCTGTAATCGTCACAAAATTCCAATAACATGTAGAGCGGTACGCAAAAATTAAAGTCTCCTTTGCCAGCATTCCATATATCCCAGCCGGCGTTCTTCAGAACCATGCTTCCATGTCCATTGATAGCGACACATAGTTTTTGAGCGAACTAGTTATTCCTACGTTTCTGTTTCAATCAATCTCTACACCGACGAGTTCATAGCGTATCTCATCGAATATGAACGCAACAGAATTATTCGCCAATGTTACATCAGATCCTACAATTTCTTTGTTTGTAGTTAGCTTTCCCTCGATATACAGAAAACTATCACATGGCAACGTGTACAGGTCCTGCTGCTGTATTGGTACTCTTATCTCATTGCTGTATCCGAATGTCGTGTTGGCAAACGGATTGTACGAGTGAGTCTCAATTTTGATGATGCGCTCGTCGAAGACTGGCTCGTCCCCGATGTTGAGGATGTCGGTCATTGTTTGCGCACCACGAATCCCAAAGAGGTTAAAAATTTCACGTTCGCCGCGCTGAGCTTCTTTTTCCTACAGCAATTGGACGGTTGAATATTGTTAAATGTTAGCGTCACTGGTTTCGCGATCTGCTCCGATCCGTTCAGCACGAGCATAGCATATGTACACTCGCGCGCGTTGTCGCCGTCGCCGACGTACGTGTAATCTGACAGAGATTTCTTCTTCGCGAAAGTCGAGCAATCGTTCGTTCTGGTCCACAACGCGTACCATTAAATCGGTAATGCTCCGTGCGATAACTGACAGGTAAATGATCTGCGTCGGCGTTTGCGATATCCCGGTGACACATTCGGCGAAAATCTGTGTATCGTGTGCACGGCCTTGCTGTTGCTGTACGCACCCGTGGTCACGTTGCACTCTACGCGGATAATGTTCACATTGGTAATGTTGATTGGCAGATCCGAATCATGCCATTTTTGCGGCTGCAATATACGCGTCGATGAGAATCCCAGAAGCGATCCAATGTTGTTAGTCTTGCTAACGTTTATTCTGAAGGCGCATTTGATTTCACTCCTCACCGTGTTGTAATTAGCGCGGATCACAATCGGGTATTCATCGTCTTCGTCGTCGCCGTTGTCGCTCGCCCGATTGTCACCACGTTTTTCACCGTCGTCATTGGCTAGGAACCGACGCGGACGTTTCCGTGAAAATGTATTGTATGTTTCAAAAACTCATTTATGGCGTGCAGTTCGTAGGATCCTTCAGGAATCGTAATTTCCACGCCATCTTTGCCAAAGTAAAATTTATTATTCGAGGTATTCACATTCGATATCGTATTGTAAGTCTCCAAGTTCATCAGACCGAGCTCGAAATCGTCGTCGCTCAGGTCTATCGGGTCCAATACAGATCCACAACCATAACCGTAAACGTAAGAAATTAAAAGACTGTGAATCCATCAAAGAATCTACAATGATTCGGTCGTTGGAGTCGTCGTAATCCATAAAAGTTGGTTAATTTGAACTTTTATAGTTACGTTAAGGGGTTACACCACTTTAGAAATTTCAAAAATTCGAAAAAATTTTTATTCGTTTAAATTATAGTTCATAGTCTTAAAAATAAAGTTTTTTTTGTCGGAATGTAAAATTTGAATTATTTACGACTGTACAGTCGATTAAAGGGAAGCGCGCCGGTGCGCTACAGGCAGACTTCGAACGGTTCGAAGCGGTTTTCTCGAAACCATGTTTTTCAAATTGGCAAGATGAATAACTTTTGCAATTTTTATCCGATCGACTTGAAATTTGAACTGTAGCTTCTTAGATATATTTTAAAGAGAAGTACACACGATTTTAATGATTGATTAACAATTACGTTTTTTATAAACGTTTAAACGTCAAATTTTTGCTGAAAAACGAAAAAAAAAGTTCAAATTTATGTCTACTTGCGAAAAATTAAGTTTGGTTAATAATCATGTGTACTTCTCTGACAAATTTAGTGTAGATTACGAAAAAATTTTTTATTTAGTCCTAGGTGCAGATGGAAAAATGTTATTCATCTTGCCGCAGACCTCTTCCAGAAAAAGACACTGTACTTCAACCGTCTGTACTGCGGCCATTTTGGAAAAAAATATTAAACAAAAAATTTTTTTGTTCACCTTATTATATGTATACTGAACCCTTTATACTGCATTTTAATTGTTTTATTCATAGACTTCTATAGACGGAGCCTTTGTACGAGGGGTAACTGATAATCGCGGTAAGGGGATCACTCGTCTGACTTCGACTCTTTCCGGTGAGATTCGGTAATATTCGGTTCACATTTCCAATACGTGTGCACACGTCCCCTCCAATCATCCCCTCCAACTTGGAGTGGGGATGATCCGTTCGGCCACGCGCGCGCGCACGCTCGCACACAAGCAACGCGCCGTATATACGTGTGTACACGTATTGGAAATGTGAACCGAATATTACCGAATCTCACCGGAAAGAGTCGATGTCAGATGAGTGCCTCCCGCGCCCCGAATATCAGACCCCTCTTGTCCAGAGTCGTAGCTAATGCTCCGTCTATAGAAGTCTATGGTTTTATTGCTTCATGGGGAAAAAAAATCCCCGAAAAAGGTCTATTTTAAGAGACGTCTGATAGATGTAACCCCTTAACGAAGAGAGGTTAGAGTAACATTCATCGAGAACAGGCGTGAGATTATATTATATAAATATTTACCCCAAAAAAATATTCTATTCATAAGCGGGGAAATCCTCTAAGCATTTCCTCTAAGCAAGAAATCTTATATGAAGCATTTCTCACTTACTTTAACACATATTCATCTGTAAAAGACTCATAATTTATAATTAAGAATAAATTCTTTTATAGAAAATTCCATTACAGTAGTACAACTAGCCTCTTAAAATAAAAGGATACGCAAGATATTCGCGGATACGCGAATCGCAGCACGTGCGCTTGTTATTTGTTCACGACACACAGGGCAGTGTCAGTTGCCCTGTTTGTAGCGAGCTGTGAAACACGTGTAACATACACGACAGTGTAGTGTAGTGCAGTCAATTTGGTAAAAGTTTGGTAACTCTTCAGCATGAACGAGGTACAAAAATTTCTGGAGAAAGCCTATTTAAGTGACTACTGGCCCACGTTTGCGAGTGAGTTTGTTTTTGCTGACAGCTTTTTGGATATAGAACTGTAAAGTCTATTCTACGTTAATCGCAGTCTTACTTCGCAAGCCGTGCAATGAGGAA